AGTAGTCCTTATATTCTACTGAAAGAAAGCCTGGACCTGTTTTTCTTTTAAGGCTTTATTGAAATGAGTTTAAATATTTCCATGTGAGAACATAGTAAGGGCAATCGATGACAGGTTAATTTAATGTGGATTGAAACTTTGGAAAACTGCCTCCTACTCCACCATTCTGAAATGTTCAGTGCTAAACATTTGTAAAATGTCCTACAAAGCCAGTCTGCTCTGACACAGAAATAGTGTATATTCTCCAAATCCCCCAACCAACAATCTTCTAGTCATAATGAAGTAACATAAGATACATGTTTTTTTAACCACAATATGGCCAAACAATGTGATTCTAAGAAAGCTCAACACGCTGAATAACACATCAATGCACTTTGTATCAAAAGCTAATTGCAAAGAAAAATATGCCAGCAAGAGTTGCAATTTTAAGATGATGCAGAGACTTTTCTTCTCCCAGAGACTTTATTACGAACTCCCATGGTGCAATTCCAAGTTTCTAAGTGACCTGTAGAATAAAAAGATAATTTTTGTATCAAGCACATCAATTTAACATGGACACAGATATTAGCTCTCAATCTATAGGGAGTTAAGGTCAAATATCAGATACCAAATTACTGACAAAGATGAATTAAAATAAAAGTGGGTGCAAAAGAATTTCCATGGAATTTTTCTCAGACATTTGGAAATTGAGTTATATTTCTCAATTGAATACAATATATGATCCCACACAGGGAAAAATATATAAAAAAGGACAGTATTGGTCAATTGGCAAAATTGATACCTGTATGGTAAAGTATCAATGTTAAATTTTCTGAAGTTGATAACCGTCCTGTGGTTATTTAAGAGACTGACTTTATTCTTAGGAAATACACTGTGAAGTATATAGGGGTAAAGTGATACGGTGTATATAACTTCAGGTGGCTTAGAAAAAGTTATATATCTATATACTGAGAGAAAGAGAAACAAAGAAAGAAGAGAATAAAAGAGTGGGACAGAGACAGAGAGAGAAAAATGGTAAAGATAATGAAGCAAAATGTTATGGTAACAATTAGCAAATCTGAGTAAAATTGTATATGAGAGCTCTTTGTACTATTTTTGCAACTTTTCTCTAAGCTCGAAATTATTTCCAAATTAAAAAAAATAATAAAAATAATACTTCTTTTCACTAACCATGACCAAGGCAAATCATTTCTTTGCCCCTTAGCAGTTGTGTATTGTGCCTGCACCATACTATTTTGAATTTCTTATATATTGCTTTGAATTTATACTCATATTGCCCTCTTTCCATTTCTAATAGAGAAGTGTTAGTCTCCAACTATGAAAATGGAATCATTGATTTCTCTCTGCAATTCTAATAGTTTTTACCTCACATAGTTGGATATTCTGTTGTTTGATGCATACATGTTAAGGATTGTTATGTCATCTTGGAGAATTGACCCCTTTATCATTATGTAATGCCCTTCTTTATCCCTAATAACTTTCCTTGCTTCTAAGTCAGCTTTGTCTGAAATTAATATAGCTACTTTTCTTTCTTTCTTTTTTTTTAATTCGTTCTAGCGTGATTTATTGTTCTCCATCCATTTACTTTTTTTTTTTTTTTTTTTTTTTTGCTGTGCTGTGCAGCTTGCAAGATCTTAGATCCCTGACCAGGGATTGAACCCAGGCCACCACAGTCAAAGCACCAAATCCTAACCACTGGACTGCCAGGGAATTCCCTACATCCATTTACTTTTAATCTATATTTGTCTTTATGTTAAGAGGGTGTCTTATAGGCACCATATAATTGGGTCTTGTTTTATGATCTACTTTGACAATTTCTGTCTTTTTTTTCTTCTTCGTAATTGTATCATGAAAATTTTCGTACAGAAACGTTGAAAGAATTGTACAATGAAGATACATATGCCCACCACCTGGATTCTGCAGTTAAGAGTTTGCTACATATATGTATAACTGAATCTCTTTGCTGTACACCTAAAACTAACACAACATTGTAAATCAGCTGTACTTTAACTAAAAAAAAAAGTTTGCCATATTTGCTATATTTTCTTTATCATACATCTTTAACACATCTGCAGTGATGGGAATGCTCTGTGCTGTCCAGATACAGTAGTCTGTGGCTGTTGAGTTCTGTCTTTTCATTGGTGCATTTAGACCTTTGATGATCAAAATGATTATTGATATAGTTGAATTAATATCTATCTTATTTGTTAATGTTTTCTATTTGTTGCCCTTGTTCTTTGTTCTTATTTGTCTTTCACTCTTTTTCTGCCTTTCCAAGGATATGGTCTTGCTCCTACCCATTTTGACTAATAAATGAGCTACTAATACCAATACAGTACAAAAGAAATCTTGAAAACTGTTTTCCAGAATACCTGGATTTTTAAAAAATAATTTCTCTTTTTCCCTTATTGAAGAAATTCAGTGACTGGAATCGAAATTTCTGAATAAGACATTGATATCTTGCAGTTAAAAAAAAAGTTCATCAGCTAAAAGACATGATACAGTATCCATAAGCCACAAAGGAAAAGACTAAGAAGCTTAAACATATACATGAAAAATTTCTTCAAACAATAAACTGTGAAAGCATATTTTTCATACATTTAATAAACTAATTTATTTATTTGTTATTTCTAACAAACTAGATAGGTGTGCGTGTATGTATATGTATATGTACACGTATGGCAAATATTTGAATTGAAAATTATTAACAGTTATTTCTGAGGAGTAGGACAAGGATATGGGAAAGTGAGGATTCTTTTACTTTTCATTATCTATATTTTGTACTTTTGAAATTTTTACTGTAAGCATGTATTACTATTATAGTTGAAAAACTAATTTACAACCTGATCCAAAAATGGGCGGAAGAACTAAATAGACATTTCTCCAAAGAAGACATCATACAGATGGCCAAGAGGCACATGAAAAGATGCTCAACATCACTAATTATTAGAGAAATGCAAATCAAAACTACAACAAGGTATCACCTCACACCGGTCAGAATGGCCATCATCAAAAAATCTACAAACAATAAATGCTGGAGAGGGTGCAAAGAAAAGGGAACCCTCTTGCACTGTTGATAGGAATGTGAACTGATACAGCCACTATGGAGAACAGTATGGAGGTTCCTTAAAAAAACTAAAAATAGAATTACCAAATAACCCAGCAATCCCACTACTGGGCATATACCTGGAGAAAACCATAATTCAAAAAGACACGTGCACCCCAATGTTCATTGCAGCACTATTTACAGCCAGGTCATGGAACCAACCTAAGTGTCCATAGACTGATGAATGGATAAAGAAGATGTGGTACATATATACAATGGCATATTACTCAGCCATAAAAGGGAATGAAATTGGGTCATTTGTAGAGATGTGGATGGACCTAGACACTGTCATGCAGAGTGAAGTAAGTCAGAAAGAGATAGACAAATATCGTATATTAACGCATATATGTGGAATCTAGAAAAATGGTACAGATGAACCAGTTTGCAAGGCAGAAATAGAGACACAGACATAGAGAACAAACGTATGGACACCAAGCGGGGAAAGGAGGTATGGGATGAATTGGGAGATTGGGATTGACATATACATACTAATATGTATATAATAGATAATTAATGAGAACCTGCTGTGTAGCACAGGGAACTCTATTTAGTGCTCTTTGGTGACCTAAATGGGAAGGAAATCCAAAAAAAGAGGGGATATATGTATACATATGGCTGATTCACTTTGCTGTACAATAGAAACTAACACAACATTGTAAAACAACTACACCCAATAAAAACTTTTAAAAAAGGAAAAGAAAAACTATTAAGTACATTACCCAAGAGTTGGAAGAGATGCCTAAAGTACACAAATAATAAAGCATGAAAAACCCTCACAAATGTGGTTTCTGCTGTTTGATTGTCAAGAAGGGGCCTTATGAGAGGGATTCATGGCAGGATCTGATCCTACTGCAAAATGGGCACTTATTCTTTTGACACTCCTGGGCTTACAAGCATCGATTAGCCTATAGAAATGGTTGGTCCCTAAAACGAGCCTTTCAGGCAGTATGGGTAGGGCACAGTGGTTTGGAAACACTCACCTAAGGCCCATTCACTTGCTGCCAGTTCACTAATCAGTAATAATTACTGAATATTACTGCCTGCAAAGCACTTTATACACATGTAGGAAATAATAAGGAAATAAAAGATCTGCTTCCATCAAGAAGCCAACAGTCCTCAACGGTTATGGAAAAAAACATACAAGGAATGAAATTATACGTTCAAAATAACATACCAATGAGTAATCTTGAGAGCCAGATTTTCAGTACATAGGTGCATAGATGAGCCTCAGGGGGCTATGAACCCCTGTCTCAGAGATCTATTTTTTCATGATTAAGTTTAAGGTCTAGATTATCAGTGTATGTGTGTATGTGTGTGCATGTACGTGTATGTTATTTCTGGAGTTATTACTGTTTTTTGATTTTCTGTTGTCTGTTTTACTTTCTAAAGCTTGCTGTCCCCAAACTGACATCTTAAAAATTAACATCATCTTACTCAAAAAGATCTTAAGTAACAAAGATATAGTTCTAGAAAAGCTATACCTTCAAATCTCATAACAAAGACCTTTAAAAGAAAACTCAATATCATAAATATTTCCTAATAGCATGATTTTTGTTACTAGAATAACACATATTAAAGCCCTGATGTGACCAAGGATTTCAGGCAGTTCTTAAAGCATTTGCTATGATAAGTTTACATTTCTAATCAGTCAATAGCTTGCCTCAGAAAATCTGAATAAACCCTGAGCCCTGTGTGACCCAGTCTATTCAGAGATTCACATTTTAAAAATGCATAGTATAGCGACCGAACTACATAAAAAGGAATTTCAATTTTCACTTGTGTTTCTTGAAGCAAGCCCAATTCATAACCCAGTGATTCTGTTTTCAAAATTCCCCTTTCCCTTTCCTACCTTACAACCCTCCAGCTGACCCAGAGTCTCTCATTCAACAAAACCCTAAAACATCCCAGCCAGCCAGTCTGTACCACTTTTTGGATTCTTTCCCTGCTCAGCTTTGGTCTCTCTGACTTTTAAAATTTCCTTTTCACTTTGCACATTGCAATTGAGAATGCAGAGCTGGAACGGCACAAGAACACTCCTTTCTTTCTCCTTACTTTCCAGCCCTGTCCATCTCTGACCATTCTCTGAATTCTGAAGCATAAACGTCAAAGGAATTAGATGGGCAGGGCAGAAGCAGCAGAGATGCAAAGCAGGCAAAGATAAAATTTTCATTAGTGAGAAAGGGACCGAGAGTAGGGACATTTGACACAGATATTAATACAAATCCTCTGCTCAACACACTTATTTGAATCAACAGAATAATAGCTGATTAACTGTGGCCAGTATTTCTCAAATGCTGAAAAGATAATAATGGTCAATATTTATTTAGGATTTACTCTGTTCTAATCTCTTTTTGTTGTTGTTGTTGTTCTAATCTCTTAACATGCATAATCTCAGTTAATCATTTCGTGGACCTTAAGAGGTTAAGTACCATTGTTCTTCCCGTTTTGCAGAGGAGGAGAGGTTAAGCAACTTGCCCCAAGTCATACAGCTGGTGTATTATACAGCGGGCTTTAGTTTCAAACCCAGAGTATCTAACTCCCAAAGGCTAGACATTTTTTAGCCACAATATAAGTCAAGTACTCCCCAAACACCTGGTATCAGTTTGGTTCGGTTTGCATTTTTAGACCTACTTTGTTCTTTGGCTGTGTGTCCAAAGATAAATTATTTTATGGTTTCCATTCTGTGACATTTGCTTCCTTTGTAGAGCTGCTGGTGGCATTTTGATTCGTTGCTCCCCTTCTTAACTTGACACCTAGAGACACATGTAGTCATCATGTCTGTATAAAAACATTTTTTAAAATGAGTCCACCTCAGTTTTATATCCTTCCCTTCTAGGGTGCTTTGCTTCCATCACCAAAATTTCTGAGAAATGACTTCCCTGATTTCAATGCTGGAGGGAAATCAAGTCATAAATGCTCTTGATTCTTTTAAATTCCACCAGATAGAAAGATGTTATTACCATAACAACTTGGACCTTACTTTGTACGTACGTCTCCTTGTTTTACTTAAATTTTTCTAAGCAATGGAAGTAAACAGGCTTACTCTGTTTGCGGGCATATTCTGCTGCTTTGGGTGCTGTTAACATGGCAAAAGGGTGCAAGGAGAGGTGGAAGGGTGGAGCTCTGGGAACCTGAAAAAAAAAAAAGTTCTACTTTTAAAAGCTGCACCCACTTCGTGCTGTCAACAGCTGCTGGTTATAGCACTTGTTTCAGGGCTCGGCCTGTTTCCCCAACCCGTCGTCCTGACAGGTTACTAGCAGTTGAGGATCGTGTTTCATGCGATCTACATGCATTTTCTACCCTTAGAAGACTCAAGACAGGCTTTTGCAGGGAATTCCCTGGTGGTCCAGTGGTTAGGACTTGGCACTTTCACTGCTGTGGCCTAGGTTCCAGGGAACTAAGATCCCGCAAGCCGCGTGGCATGGCCAAAAAAAAAAAAAAAAAAGACAGGCTTTTCCGTGTCCACTGGAGAAGAGAGAACCCGAGGATTTTAAAGTCACTTCCAGCTCACATATTCTATGACTCCTGATAATCTGATGATTCATGCAAGCAATTAATATGGCTTCCTGCGTGGTTTACAAGAAAAATTATTTTTCAAGTAGGATGACATTGAAATCCTAAACCTAGAGTTAATCATATGCTCTTTTTTTACTTCAAAGTTACTTACTGATATCTTCAGTGTACCACACAGCTAGCAAGTGACAGAGCTGGGACTAGACACCAGTCTGTTTGCCTCTGAAGAGCTTGCTTTGGACTCTGGATGTAAGTCTGGATAGAGTGAAATGATGGATGGTCAGACACTAGGGTGTGGAAAGAAGAGATTCTGATGTTCTCTAGTTACCTGCCTTTGTCTTTTTCCTCTCTCTGTTACACCGGTTTTCACTCTCTCTGCCCCCCTTTCCTTTTCCCCTCTTTCTCTGTCAAAGGGAGCTGAAGAATATTTTTATTGTTTGCTTTATTTGTTGAAGGAAGATTTACGCTCCTTTTACTTCAGTTTAAAATTGAGTAGGACCTCTTATATTTATCTGAAGCTAACTGCAAATAACCCTCACTTGTGTGAAGTTCTTAGTTAAATTTTTTTTCCCTATGGGTCCATGTTCCTCAGCAGAAAAATGGCTCCCTGTCAGCCAAAACCAGCTCCCTTATCAGGAGTAGAACGCGAAGCTTAACAGAATTGAACAATTCTGAGTTCAGGAGGCCTTTCTGTCACTAGGTGGCAGCAAATAGTCCTGAAGAAAGCCCTCAAGCCCACACACAGTACCGATGTGGTACCAAAGTGGCCAATTCCAGAGGCCGGAAATTCTACATAATCTGATTAGTATGCAACACTGCTTTAAGCTCTTGAGTGGGAAGGATTTTAGCTGTTGCTTAGGAGACATTTTATCAGAAGGAATCAAAAGTGATTCATATACATGAAGCAGTTAGAGAGGAACCTTTGTCAATAACTTTTTTTTTTTTTTGAACAACCACACCTCCTAGTTAAAACTATTTATTTGAAGTTATGTTAAATCCCAAAGGACTGTTTTAAAATAGCTCTTACAATTTAATCTTTGAAATGCTCTGTTTCCATTAAGAGGTCCTGCTAATTCTTTAAGATGTGGAGGGGGTGCCTGAGTAGAGCCCGACGTGTAGCCACAAGAGAAAGGCCTGAGCTGGCATCCTTGAGTCAGTGAGGAGCTTGTGAGGTCCACAGGGGTAGATGATCCTCAGATGCTTATGTCTGTATCTCACATCATCTCATACCCTTTTGTGAGAATTTGTTATCTAAAATAGGCAAGGTTTATAATGTATTAATAATACAATGGATGCTTGATGAGCTATTTAATTTTTGAATATTTAGAGAAGTGGTTCTTAACTAGTTGTGATTTTGCCTCTTAGTGGACATTTGGCAATGTTGAAAGACATTTTTAGTTGTCACATCACGGGGCAGGAGTGGGAAGCTATTGGCATCTAATGGGTAGAGGCCAGGATGCTGCTAAACATCCTACAATGTACTGGACAGCCCCGACTCCACCCCCTACCCACACAACAAAGAATTATCTGACCCAAAATGTTGAGAAACCCTGATTTAGAGGAATATAGAGGAAATCAGATACACCCCCTTCCCTCTGGGTACCAGAACCTTAACCATAACCATAGCTATTATTTTGAGGTTACCATGTGCCAAGCACTAAGGGCTTTACTGATATAACTCACTTCATTTCCCACAGAAAACCCATCTTCTGGTCCCTGTTTTTACAAATGAAACCAAGGCTGATAGAGCTTAGAAGACTTGCCCAGGATTAATCTGCTGATAGCTGGTAGAGCTGGGGTTCGAACCCAGGCTACCTGGCTCTAGGATTTTCATGCTTAACCCTTACACAAATGGCCTTTCAAGTACAGGACACTCATATTCTGTAACAATAGACAAACTCAGGTCTTTGAAGGAAAACCCCTGAAACCCAGTCCTCCTAAAACCGAGTTCCTCTGCTGAGTTATGATTAACCTCTCTATTCAAAACATTATTCCATTTCTTGTCCAACACCTGTTCCCCTCAAGACTGAGGAGGATCAAAGAAAAGGGGGGACTGAAACCTAGCAGGACCCTGTGGAGCCCTCCTGGACACAAAAGCTTTTCCATGCCCCCCATTTTTTGTTTGTAGAAAAAAAGCATCAGACATTCCCTGAGTTCCAAAGGGCAGATTCAAACAGTTACCAATTAGGGAAGTGACTGAACGCAGAGAGAGAACAGTAGTGCAGAGATGGGGGCTGGTCCTGGTTCCTCTTCAGGGGATGTGCATGGCAATCTGATACTTATCTCTGAGTTCTTCTATGGGAACTAAGGCTCCCACCCTGGTGGAGGAGGTCACTTCAGGCTGAGCACAAGCACACGGACCCCAGACTGGTTGGAACCAGAAGGCTGATGATTGAGATTCCCAGAACACCACCCAGTTACCTCATCACCAACCAATCAGAGGAGGGTTACATACTCTGCAGCCCTCCCCCCAAATTTTGCCTATAGAAACATCTTCCCTGAAACCCATCAGGGAGTTCGGGTCTTTTGAGCCTAAGCTGCCCCGTTCTCTTTGCACAACCCTGCAATAAACTTTTCTCTGCTCCAAACTTAGACGTTTCGGTCATTTGGTCTCACTGTGCATCAGGCACGTGAACTTGAGTTCGACAACACCCCCTCTCTGAGGGTACGATTTATTTCCCTGCAGAACTGGTCATTATGTAGTCTACCTGTACATCTGGACTTTTTGTTATTGGTAACTGATTGTGAAGACAGAGACTGTGAAGAACAGAGAAGGTGCCGAATAAAGGCTCTTTAATGAATGAATGAAAGGCCGGATGGATGGATAGAGACTGGCCAGCCCACTCTAAACAGTGCGGCTTCCTGTTCTGGCCCCTTTAATGAACCTGGCTCACCTGAGCTACTCTGACACCCACGTTTGCAAACCTTGATGGATAACCCAGCTAAGACTGGAGGGGTTCACAGTGCCATTCCCTCCAGGATGTGATTTTCTGTATTTGCTCTCTGGCCACTTGAGCTGAGACCAACCAACCAGAGCTGCCTACGGCCTGCTCTAGACCTCTCCCAGGCACAGAAGATGAAGGGGGAGAAAACACAATGTCTGAAGCAGAGGAGCTTGGGCTCAGATATTTATATGTATGTGTTGGCGGGGAAGGTTTGAGGAAAGGAGAGAAGAGGGCAGCCTGGAAGGAAGAAAGCCGCAGGAAAAACGAACAGGAATGAAGCAGCATGGTTTGCTTGTCTCTGTAAGAACACAGAAGAGCTGGGCTTTCTTTAAAAGCCAAGAACAGCTTGGGTCTCTGAGGAGCACTGAGTCTGGTGTGGCTTATACCTCAGCCAAGGTAGAATGTCAGCTCCAAGATATGAGATCCATGAGAAAGTCATCTTTTCTGACTCACCCACCCTTGAATCCCTGCACCTACAACTATATTGAATGAACGAGTGAGTGAATGAATGAATGAATGAATGGATAGAGTTGAAACCAGAGTGATCAGAGAGGAGGTGCTGATTTTCTCTGTAATCAAGGGAACTTGAGTCTCAGGACCAGGCCAGCTTACATGTGGATTAAGGTGAGAGGGCCATTGGATTCAGTTACAACACTTCTGAGGAAATGCTCGACTCCTAAGCTGGCCCTGGTGGACTTTTTACTTTATAGGACCCCACTGTCTGCAGTATGGTCTGCAGGTAAGAGAACAAAGGATGCAGCCATTCCTGTGGCCGTAGCCCTGCCCCTGACCTCACCTCCCTTCCGAATCCTGGTGGTGGGCATTGAAAGCAGCTGTGTGAGTAGAAGTCCTCATGTGAGGGTGTGGGTTCTCCCTGCTTCCCTCCCTGACTCCCTCCCACTACACACCCCTGCCAACCCCACCCCATCGGCCCTTTCTTCTTCCCTTTTCTAGAAGTATCTAAAGGGATCAGTAGTTCACCTCTAAACAGAAGCCCATATTTTAAATGTTTAGTAAAGGTTCATACATTCATAAACAGCAAAACCTGAACTGACTGTAAAGATCATTCAGAATATTCCGTTTTTGTTTTTGTTTTTTTAAGATTAGTATATGGAAGCCCAAAGAGGGAAAGGGACCCAGTCAGAACTCACCCTGAGTCTCTGGACTCCCAGATCGTTAGTGCTTCTATTAGACTGACTTCCAAGTAGTCTTGTGGGCAGGAGAAATGTGGCAGCAGTAAACTAGATAATTTCTCATGAGAATGAATGTTGTAGCTCTTGTCCTAGTGCTAGAAGTTACAGTACATCATACAAGAGGAGCGCTTGGACTCACCAGATCCACATTATGAAAGGTGTAAGTGAGAAATTCTGTTAATCAGAGACAGAGGCAGAATCTAGACTCTAAGCCTGGTGCTCTATTGGCTGCCTCTATTTGGCCTTCCATACAATGCATTTGGTATTATGAATATAGTCCTCTGCATAAGGAAAGCATCTTACATTTATTACCCAAGTAAGATATGGCTACATCTGGTTTTATCCATCATGGTATAAAACTGTTATTTCATGCCTGGAAATGCAACATTATGAATTCATAAAATAAAGAAATTCTCTCTAAAAATCCCTTATATTGATAGTCTCAGGTCGTCCCTACCTTGGTAGCCCCAGAATTAGTAGAAGGATCAGCCCCATAAATTTTAAAGACTTCCTCAATTGGGATACTGTTCTGTTAAACAACAATGACAATAACAAAAATGTATTATCATACCATGGCTTTTCTTTTATTACAAAACAAAGCTATTCTAACTCCCATATATCCAGTACCATGCCTGGAGACCATGGGCACCAAATAAATGTCTTCTAAACAAATGGATAAATCAGAGTATCTTAATACCAATTATCCATGTGTTATTTTTTCCCCTTAAATAAATGTTTTCACAATACAATATAGAATTCAGTCTTTTTATTAATCTTTAAAAATAAAAATTTAATATTAGTAAATTCTACATATTTAGAAACATTGGTTGAAAAAGTAAAATAAATATTCATTAATATGAAAATGCACATTGTAGATACAAAATCTCCATGTATGCAAATAATGTTCTTTCCCTTACCATTAAGATTCCAGCATAAGATGATAAAATCATTGCTTCTCGTTCTCTGTGGTTTGGATATATGGGTCTACCCCGAAATGGCATTTTCCTATGGGGGAATATGAATAAATAAGAAGGGAGGGTTTATTCTTGTTTTGTTTGACACCTGCTAAGGTTGTGACAATAAGTAATAAGTAATTACCAATGGCTGTGTGCTATGCTGTTCACAAAATTGATATGATTAATCCATCATCAGTAAAGTGTACACTTTGAATTTTGAATCATCCAACAGTGGTGACGAATTTTCCCTCATCTATCCACATTTCCACAGCTATCAAATCCTGGCGGACTGGCCACTATGGTGGAAAATTGTGGTTTCACCAACCTATATCCTTTACCCTTCTTGTGGCAGTTTGCTTGGGGGTAACTGCCTTAACCCCCTGTAAGCCTGTAAGCTTCCAGGGAAGCTGATGACACCCCTAGATTCCAAGGATGGAAAACACACTGTGGCCTAAATTAGCTAGCACCCCCAGATAAGTCAGAGCTAACAGAGCCATTGAGACACAATTCTGTGATTTTTAAAAAGTCCATTCTCCCCTGGCTTGAATGTTGTGATAAAGTGGGCTGAAACTAGGAATAGCGTCCATCCAGAGGAAATAGCCAAGAGGTAGATCCTGATGACCTGGTTTGAGTTTTGAATTAAGCCATGCCTAATGAGGACCTAGCCGTGGACTTTCCAGATACAGAGGCAATAAATCTCTCCTCCTGCTCTCCTTTTTTAAATTTATTTATTTTTTTGCTTAAGTCCGTTTAAACCGGATTTTCTGCTTATTACAACTAAATACTGATACAACCATTCAGCACCAGGTGTGTGTTCTAAAGTCACAGAGCAGAAAAAACAGCTGGCCTCCAGAACAAGCGATTCAATCCTGGCCTCATTAGTTTCATGTTCTTCCTAACTGAGTGGGTCTGCTCGGCACACATGGGAGAAGATGCCAATAATCCCGGCAAGGATTCAAACTGTGGTGATTCAAGCTGCTCAGCTCAGGTGCACATCTGGTTAAATGCTTAAGAAGTTGTGTTTAATAGTTCTTAGGAAAAGATTGCAGCCTTACCCACAGAACTGATCTTTTTTTTAAAAAAAGTCGAGGCACGTACACAATAAAGCAGTTTTATTTCTAAGGCAGAACGTTCTATGCAAGAAAGATCTTTATCAGACAGAAACCAACTCACAGAGATGCACAATATGTAAGCATGTATATGAGTTCCTCGAATCGACAACTGTGAGGGTTTCCTCAGGTTTCTAGTTGGAGGGGGATACGTACCCCATAGTATTTTCAAATCTGAGTGCCTTGTGGTGAACTTCCTCTGTCATTACTCACAGTTAAAAAAGAAAAGAAAAGAAAAAAAAAAACTATTCAACTTACACTTTCTCCCACTCCAGCCAAGTTAAGTCTTCTGAGTGATCCAGCCACTGCAGAGCAACATTGATGGCCAAGTCATAGTGTGCCTGGAAGCAGGAAGCACAGACAGCAAAGGAATGGGCTGAGACATTGGCCGAAGCACGTGCTAGGCACAATGACAATGGCACTGCTAAGCCTATTCTACTTGTTTGTCATGTCCACAAAGGTGAGGATCACCAGCTGTGTCCAGTAACCTGATGCTCAGGCAGAAATAACTAGTGTTCTTCAGGCATTATATTTACCTCACACTAGAGCGGTGAGTGTGTGTGTGTGTGTGTGTGTGTGTGTGTGTGTGTGCGTGCACGCGTGAGCCAGAAATGAAAAGATAGATTCATGGAATACTAAACTGGGAATCAGGGAATCTGGGTTCAAATCTAGGTATTGCCAACAACTCATGGTACTATATCCTTGAGTGAGCAATTGCCATTCTCTGGGCCACAGTTTCCTTGAATTTTAAAATAGAAAAAGGGGAAGACAGAGGAAGAGGGACACAGAGAACAATTTCTAATTCTGTGGAACATCAGAACTGAGTGCCCAGGCTCACAGGGGAGGTGGTGGGTCCATCTGAGGAGCTGGGGGAATCCCGGGAGGCTTCAGAGAGGAGGCATCAGTGGAGCCGGGGCTTGGGGAATGAGGAGAATGTCTACAGGTGGAGAAGGACCTCCCAGGAGGAGGGTCCAGCGGAAGCAGAGAACTGGAGGTAGACCAAGTGACTTTCTAAGAGTCTTATATGCGGTAAAAAGCTGAGGACCAATTCCATGTTCATTCCTTCCTCCCCACTACCTTTTCCTGGTAATTTCTAAGCGTCTTTGCCATTTGTCTATCAAAACATTCCTTTTCTCCTCCCCACCTCCAGCCCCAGTAAAAGGAAGGTCAGTTTTGTTTCTGTGTTTGTAGATGGGTTCCAAGGCTCTTTGTAACTCTAACATTGTGTAAACAATGTAATTATAACAATGTAATTATTTCTTTCAGGGACTGAACCAAAGTGAAAAGGAAGGAAGGAAGGAAGGGAGGGAGGGAGGGAGGGAGGAAGGAAAGAAATAAAGAAAGAAAGGAAGAAAAGAAAGAAGGAAGGAAGGAAAGAAAGAAGGAAAGAAAGAAGGAAAGAAAGGAGGAAGAAAGAAGGAGGAAAGGGAGGAAGGAAGGAAGGAAGGAAGGGAGGAAGGACCGTGCTCACTTGTTGAAACCTAATACAAAGATTGATGCCTGGACCAGCAGCACTGACATCACCTGTTTGTTCATTAGAAATGCAAATTTCCAGCCCCACCCCTGAACCCCTTAATCAAAACGGTCTTGTAATAAGACCTCATTAAAGTTTGAGAAGCACTTATCTAATTGATTTAATTTCTCCATTTAATACGTGCACAGATAAGTAGTTTAGAACACCAAGCCTTAACTGCTCATTCAGCTCCAGAGAAATCAGACAGGGAAGGGGAGGGGGCGTGGAGGGACAGGTGATTTCTCCTTCCTCATTAGTGCAAGAATAGTAAATGGGTAGCATAAAAAAGCTGAGAGTTTACTAATCTCTTTTGGATTAGATCTTTACGTAGCTTTCTTAATTTATGTGAAGTGAACTTTGATTACATAGTATGAATCTGAGTTTCAACATGTATAATATAATAAAAAAGGATTTTAGGATTTTTCAATTATTTGGTTTTCTCCATAAATGGTAAAAAATTCTATTTGAGAACTACACGACAGTTAATCTTGTCAACAAGCTTTTAACATCATGTCTGTCACATTTAATCTTGTACTCGTTTTGCTTTTAAATCTTTTCTCTCCTAATAGTAAATAAAGAGCAAAAGTCTCATGACTTTAATTTTCTCATTCTTCTTGCTTTCAGTTTAATGAGTTGAAGAGACCACATGGAGAATCCTAGGTTGAGAAGATGAGGAAGAGGACATTCTGGGGGGATCAAGATTAGCCTTGCTTGTGATAGATATTAGATCCCCGTTCTGTCCCCATAATACACGTATGACACAGATGTGACTCGTGGCAGCGTGCCTTTCTTTACCATATCATCTAGAAAGGTGAGTTGCCTTCTTCCTTTTGGGTCAAATTCATTTTCCCGAAGTCTGATGCCAATATAATCTCCCCTTAAAAGCAAGAGAGCAGGATTGAACCAGTGGGAAAGACATGGAAGCACGGTCTGCAGAAGAACATTCCCTCCCCATCCCTCCCTCCTCCACCAAATACAAGCGAAGTCACCGATGGCTCTGGTAGCTGAGTTAATATTCATTTTGATTTAAACGGCCGTTCTGCAACCCTGCAGGTTTAAAGTGTCTAACCATCATGAACAAATCACATTTATCGTAAAATTAAACTCACATAGAACCGAATTTCTAGGAAAGCAGGGAGTATGATAAATCCCCAAAGGCAGAACAGATTTTATAAAACCGAAAGGATTGAGACCCACTATTTAAAATAAAGATTCCCTTGCTGCCCTTGCTAAATTCAGGCAGGATGTCCAAAGTTGATAACTTCCAGATATTTGATATTCCGTACAGATGTGTTCTTTTGCCTGAAGGCTTTTTTCCCATTAGAATGCAAATACCATTAGGAGGAGTTATGTGTAAAAACATATTAGTGATTCCACTTTAGTGTATCCTTATCAGATCCTTTCCTTAACAGACTTTTAATAAGGGGAGGGTAGAATAAGGGCCCTGTGAGGTGAATAGAAAGGAGTACTACCCTGGGAAAATCAAGAAGAGGGAATGGATATAGGAAAAAGGACTCTGGGGTCTCCAAGGTCGATCTCACAAAGTTACATAAGGGCAGCTCTGTTTGTCAAGGTCTTTACCAAACACTCTGGGCAAGTTCCTATGCTGGGGATAAATTTGCTTTGGGGTTCTAAAAGCCCTTCTTCTGAGTCATTAAGCTATTCTAGATTGATAAAAATTCTTGAAATTTTGCTTTGTAATTCCAAGACACTTTATTTAAAGTAGCCTAAATAGATTCTTTGGGTAAAATTAAACTACATATGCATAAAAATTATATTTATATCAGTTTTGGATGAGATATGTAGTGGAACTGGCATTCCTAATCATGGTTTGTTCTTTATTATGTTGACCTCCAAACACATACATGTAAACATGTATGAATTCATACATAGTTTATTGCAGCAATTTTTTTTTTTTTTTTTTTTTTTTTTGCGGTACACGGGCCTCTCACTGTTGTGGCCTCTCCTGTTGCGGAGCACAGGCTCCAGACGCGCAGGCTCAGCGGCCATGGCTCATGGGCCCAGCCGCTCCGCAGCACGTGGGACCCACCCCGCCCCAACCGGGGCATGAACCCGTGTCCCCTGCATTGGCAGGCGGACTCTCAACCACTGCACCACCAGGGAAGCCCCTATTGCAGCATTTCTTAAAGAACTTGTTAAAAGATAATTACCTTAGTAGGCAGAGAAAGGACATTTAATGGAGACTATGATAAGATCTCTAATAAAAGGGTATTATTGTTGTGCCTATAATCATGAAATAGAACATAATAACCTTTTTCTCTTTTTATATGGTCTGTGATTTTCACCAACCTCTTATCAAAGTACCAAGTCAAAGAAAAGCTACCACAGGAGGAAAAAAATTTCCATGGGAAAACTTAATGTTTTCTTTATGTGTTTAAAACAGAGTTTGGAGAGCAGAAAATGGAGATAAATTATTTAATCAATAAGCCTGACAATAGAAGAAGCAGAGTCTGCAATTTAAATGCTGGGCCCTTGGGTACATTTTTCCAGAAATCTCTCCTGTATCTTTTACCAGTCGGGGCCTTTCAAAGGCATACCCTGCCCAGCACAGGCTGGGACTGTGGGCTCAGATCTTAGATTCTAGAATGGGGATGCCTCGGATGTGCACGCTGCTGGCAGAAACATCCTCCCAAGAGATTCAGCATCCTGCTTTGCACCAAATGTGAGGCCTCTTGGGCAGGAGACAGAGGCCAGATCATCCGGCTTTCTCCTTTAGCCCAGGAACAGATTCTTCCTTAGGTTTTTACCCCACTGCCAATATCCAGACCATCTATGACATAAACCCCACCAAATGCTCAGTGCAGTAAATGTAAGTTATTCTCAATTAGACTTACAGGAGTTTTCTCATTTCCTTCTTCAGGAGCCTTCTTTCCATGATTAAAGGCTTATCCAGCTGAGCAGGTATCTGCAGCTACACTGCACCTGTTTTCCTTTGGAAAGACCCAGCCTCTCTGAACCTAGAAGCTACAGCAGCAAATCAGAGAGAATTTGAGTTAGGGATGCTATCACTCCTAATACCAGTCATGGAGTCCCTGGCTCTGGAAGGGATCCGAGAGTGTGCAGTCCTCTTATCCAGCAGGTTCCAGGTCAGAAAGCTGTCTGGAGGCCAGCGCCCTGTACCTTGAGTTTATCTGACACCTCTTATTCCTTCCACACTTTTCCAATATTCATCATTTACTTATTCTTGCCATAACCTTGCAAGTATCAATAAAACAGACACAGCTCATGTAATCGTGGATGAGACTATCTAGACAGAAAAATCCAGACAAAGATGGCTTGTGATCTGATTATGTTTGAGTTCTGTGTGCATTCAACATAGTGACTCTCCGTGAACCTACCTGGTTCCTGGCTCATGATGGAGGTTTCTATAGAACCCAGGTACACCTTCCTATGGCCAACAGGTCCCGGTAAGAACGTGTGGTCATGGCAAAGGTGAGGCCATACCTTCAATTCTCAACCCCACATTGAACCAGAAATTGAAGTTCAGGTGATGGGGTCAAAGGGGGCCTGGAGTCACAAAAAGGACTTAGTTTTAGAAATCATCACTATTGAATGGAGTACCCAGGGAGAGGTATAAACGGGATATCAACTTTACCTGCAATGTTTTGTTTCTTAAAAAAGATTTAAAGCAAGTTGTAGTGGTTAATTAATTTTATGTGTCAACTTGGCTGGGCCACTGTGCCCAGATATTTGGTCCAACATTATTCTGATTCTTTTTGTGAAGGTGTTTTCTGGATGAGATCAGCATTTAAATGAGTAGACTTTGAGTAAAGCAGATTACTCTCCATTATGTGGGTGGACGTCATCCAATCAGCTGAAGGCCTTAAAAGAACAAAGGCTGACCTTTCCTGAGCAGGAAGGAATTCTGCCAGCAGGCCACCTTCAGACTTGAATTGCAACTCTTCCTTGAGTCTCAGTCCTGCCAGCCTACCCCATCAGATTTTGGACTGGTCAAGCCACCACAATCACATGAGCCTATTCAGTAAATTAATTTTCTCTTTATGTATATATACACGTCCTGTTGTTTCTGTTTCTCTGGAGAACGCTAATACACATATAAGAAAATTAATAACATTTGTTGTCTCTGGGATGATAGGTCCATAGATGTTCATTATATTACCTTCTATACTTTTGAAATTATGCACATGTTTTTAAATCACTACTCTGAAATGGTTGGGAAAAAAAACTTTAGAAACTTTTTTTTTTTTTTTGCGGTACGTGGGCCTCTCACTGTTGTGGCCTTTCCCGTTGTGGAGCACAGGCTCCAGACGCGCAGGCTTAGTGGCCATGGCTCACGGGCCCAGCCACTCCGCGGCATGTGGGATCTTCCCGAACCGGGGCATGAACCCATGTCCCCTGCATTGGCAGACAGACTCTCAACCACTGCACCACCAGGGAAGCCCTAGAAACTTTTTTTAAATTGTAGCTTATAAACATTAAGCTTTATTCGATTCATCTCTCCAACGATAATCGGAGAGGAAACAGGATGCCACTGATTTAAATAAATTCTTCACCAAATTGGTTTAATTATTTTGGACCATTCTTGCTGTGGCTACGTCTGCTAAAGCCTTGGATGGGATGTAAAAAAGGGAATAAAGTCAGAGCATTCCATAGGAATGGATTAACTATAAAGAGAGTAATGTTGCGCCCTACAGGAGAATCAGTTGGGAGAGGACACTGCAAGCCAGAAAGGTTGCCTGGTGGCCTAGACAAGGAAAAGTGCTGCACCTGGGGAGGCCAGACGCCAGAATGTGGAGTCCATTCCACCACTGACTGCTGTGGCCATGGCCGTGGCCAAGCCTCCTGGCTCTTCTGCACCCCAGTCTCAGGTGTCATCTAAAACGTGATGAGCCTGGTTAACAGCATCCAGAGCACCTTTCACCTTAACGTTCCACAGCTCCATAAAGGCTGGAATGTGTTATCATTCTTCTAACTCAAAAATTTTTAAAACATTTGTTGGTAGAATATTCCTTGACTGGGGTGGGGGAGTGGCACTTCCTTAGCTTAGATGCCTTTTTATTTTTTTTGCGGTACGCGGACCTCTCACTGTTGTGGCATCTCCCGTTGCGGAGCACAGGCTCCGGACGCACAGGCTCAGCGGCCATGGCTCACGGGCCCAGCCGCTCCGCAGCATGTGGGATCTTCCCGGACTGGGGCACGAACCCGTGTCCCCTGCATCGGCAGGCGGACTCTCAACCACTGCACCACCAGGGAAGCCCAAGATTCCTTTTTAAAAAGCAAAAGATTTAGCGTTTGCTCTAACCTATTCTTGTTTTGTAATTCTGAGCCAGTCCTTTGAATTTCAGAAACACCAATTATAAAATGTGAGTCTCTTGGTTGTTGGGACAGCTTCCTCTTAGACCCATTCTTCCTCCCCCTTACCACTCAATGTGGCATCATATGCAAAGATTTTTTTTTTTCCGGCCGTACCAAATGGCTTGCAGGATCTTAGTTCCCTGACCAGAGAATGAACCCGCACCCTCAGCAGTGAAAGCAGAGTCCTAACCACGGGACCGCCAGGGAATTCTCATAAAGATGTTTAAAATATGAGCATCTTCCATTCCCACTAGGCTGGAGGTTAGGAGACCCTGTTGAGGCTACCTTGGACGAGTTCATTTTCCTCCCTGTGTTTTCGTGTTTCCCCTTCTGTAAAAAAAATCACTGAATGATTGAAGAGGTTTCTGCCAGCTGTCCAGTTCAGTGACTTCCATGCATTGAGTCTCTGTGCCTGGTTGAAAGAGGACCATTTGCACAGACTCTGTTCAGCTTAAATTTGAATTCAGCTAGTTGCCCCTCTTTTCTGTCTATAGAGTTTTAATGCAAACAAGACTCTGGCTGGAAATACACATAAAAGAGCTGCTGGAAAGATGTCAGCTGCCTCATGCATTAGCTCTTTCATGGAAACCAACACCCCCCAGAAGTCACAGCCCCCATTTTCTATAGGAATATCATGCCCTGAAGAAAATCTGTACGCTCCCTGCAGGTCCCCGCTCTGCACCCCGGCATCCATGGTACAGGTCCTTCAGACCGTGCTCTATTAACAGATTCCCCTTTCAGAATCTCTCACCAACCGAGTGATCCCAATGCTTCTGTTCTCTCCGTGCTTCTGGAGGCGTGCTTGAGCATCCACTGGGCTGGGGCTCACAGGCATCCGGAAAATAGATGCTTTTTTTTTGGTTGCTAGGAAACGGAGACTGAATGAAAATTGTTTGTTTTTTAAATACACCCACACTCCCTGAAGGGGGAGAAAAAGTCATACATTTGGGACAGGAGTATTATCCTGACCTGAGGTTCACAGATCTTTTTATCTGAGCAGGCTTCAGTTTCCCATCTAAATGATTCATGGAAAGCTGAGAGCATGAGAGCCGTCCACTTCCCCCAGGGGTTTTTGTAGCGCTCAGCTGCAGACTCAGGAGTCAACTGGCCAAGCGAGGATTTCTGGGGGAGCCAGTGAACCTCGGGCTCCTCACAGGTAGGCTGATTCTACTTGGTGACCGTAGACATGGGGCAGGGGAAATCCTGAACAACTGTCACCATTTCTCTCCTGCTAAGTGGTCTCCCTGCTCACACACTTAACACTTCCTCCCTTGCTTAAAGCTTGCTGATGATTTCCCATTGCTCTTAGAGTAAGATCTAAACTCCTAACCGTGGCCTGTGAGTGAGTGTCCTCTATGCCCTTGGACAGGGGCAGACTGTCACTCTGCCCCATCTAGTCCTGGGTGTCTGTTATCATTACCACTTAACTCTCTTTTCCACCCCTCTGCACCGTCCAAGTCTCTCATCTACCTGATATCTCAGGTGTTCTATGAGTGACAGTAACACTCTAGATTTGGATTTTTATAGGCTAGTTGTTCACTCCATATTGAATTTATATTGTACTCAGAACGTTCCAGGTTTTTTGTT